GGAACATTTCCCACAAGTCTGCTTTGTGCCCAAAGCTCTGCGAAATGCATAGCATTTTCATTTTAGCCAACAGAACGCTTCCGCTCGGGCGCTGTGCTACTAGGGAATGTTACGTGCATTATTTCTCAGTAATGGCGTGAATTACATGGGGTCAGATTGATGATCAAGCCCACGTGAGACAGGGAGGTCTTGTCTCAGTGAGGCCAACACCCTCACCAGCTCCCCGGCTCCCTGGATTTCATCAGAAGTTTAGTCCTGGTCCTACTGGGCAGGAATCAGACGTGGCACTGTCCTCTGGGGGCTTCCGGCTGAGCTCGTAGTGCCGACCCTTACACCCAAGATGATGGCTCAGTATGGTGGGTCCTAATGAGAGAGAATCCTGGACGTTATGGGCCAGGGGAGCCACTGGGGCTCAATTCCGTTCCAAAAAGTCTTGACTGAACATGAGTCTGTGGTATGGTTGTGTCTGTGTATGTATAGGTGTCCCCCCAAAGCCTCATGCAGTCATGGGGTGGCTTCCAGCGATTGTGATTAATTCCTGACCCAATGATGGGATTATGGGTGTGAGCGCTACACCCGGCCTGGGTCGCTTAGCCTGAATGCAGTATATGGAGGGGAGCGAGGCCTGCTAGCTGCCCCAGGTGCCGCTCCTCCCTGTGTGCTTTGCTGTTTTCTGCTGCCATGAGCTGCTGCCCTCTGCCCTGTGCCACCCTGCCTTGGAGCCAGCCACATGTGGGCTGAAACCTCCACTAACTGTGAGCTAAATAAACCTTTCCTTCCTTCGTTTGGGGTGCTGGATATTTTATCCCAGCCACAATAAAAAAGTAACCAAGGCAGTCTGTGTCCAAAAAAAAAAAAAAAGACACTGGCCATAGCATTCCTTTAGAAACAATGTTCACCATCATTACTGCTAGTCACTGCTGGAAAGCCTGCTGTACCCCTAACACAAGGCGCACCGTTCATCTTAGAGGACAGTGTAGCCAACACACTCACTAATTTCCCACTTCAGGAGCTAGTCTTTGTGTCCTGGGTTAGTCCACACTGCCATTCAACGATGATGCAGATGAGCCGTCTTGTCACCTCTCTCCAAGTGCAGAGGGACCAAAGCTGGTCTGACATCAACGGAGCAGCATAGAAGCTTTGGGTTAGGTGAGAGAGACAGGCACTGCCCTCTCACTCCTGGACAAATCAGACAAAAGCCTGGGCGAAACACAGCCAGCCCAAAATGAAGGACAGCTTGGCAACCAGACCCAACGGCTGCTTTCAAGAGAAGGGATCCCAGGGATGGGAAGGCAGCATGGCCGGGACAGCAGGAGCTGAGCCTGGCCTAGCAGAGCCCATGACACAAAGGGCACAGGACTCACGGGTGAAGCGTTAGGGGAGAGAGAAGCAGAGAGAGAGAAACCTTTGGAGGCCCACGGACAGTAGGCAGAGCAGTGACCTGCACATTAGCCCAGGCACAGCTGTGGGGGAAATCGAGGAACCACATCGGCGCAGCGTCAGCCAGCATGTCTTGTCCACCAGCCGGACTAGAAAGTCTGAAGATTCACAAGGCCACAGATAGAGGACTTGGGAGGGTCTTTCCTCACAAGTGGGGAAAACATCATGCTGGACTCAATTTAGTTTCAGTCCTTTTAAGATGAACACATCTCAGAAGTAAGAACTGAAACGAGCAGACCACTTCCAAGTATCTTAAATTACATCCAGAGCAAAGCTCAAGAATATTTATTAAGGCTAGGCGTGGTGGCACATGACTGTAATCCCAGCACTTGGGAGGCTGAGGCAGGAGGATCTCTGTGAGTTCAAAGCCAGCCTGGGCCACATAGCTAGTTGAAAACTAGTCTCAAAAAAACAGCAAGAGCCTGTCTCAGCCTCACCCCAAATAAAAAGAATCGACAGGAAAAGACACTTTAAAATTCATAGTAATTTCTCCAGATGAGTAAAAAGTTGAGTGGGAACATTGAAGGGAACATATTTTTTCAAAGTCCAAATTAAACTTTCGAAGATGAAAAGCTGTCATGTATGAGGTGAAAGCCCACTGAATGAGATTAACAGCATTTTATACAATCCTAGGAAACAAAGACTAGAGAATTTAAAGGCAACAGAAACTACCTCCAGGGGAAAAATATTTTTTAAGGAAACAAAGAAAGGAAAATCAACGAACTGAATAACTGCTGGCAGACAAATAAATCATCGGAGCCCTCGAAGGCAAGGAGCAGAGAGGATGGGGGAGGGGAAGGAGGAAGGAGAAGGGCAGAAGATATTTGAAGGCATGATGGTCAAAACTGATCATTTCTGGTCCCGCTTTGATCAAATCATGTCACTCATTCGTCTACTACTTGCACCCATCTGGGTGCAAAACAAATCCAAGGAAGAAGGCGAGAAGTCCCATCTCCGCGTGTTTATATCCTTGGGAAAGAGGAGACGCCAAACCCGGAGTGACCGTGCGGGTCCGCTCAGGTGTGCCGGGCTCAGCACTCTTGCTGTCTCCTCTGAAGACGTCGTTGCCCTGTGCATGGCAGCATGTCCAGTGGCAACCCCAGCTAGAAGCCAGCTGCAGTCTCCAGGGGCAACCACTGGAAGCGTCTCCAGACACGGCCATGTGTGCGCGCGCATGCACACACGCACGCACCGGGAGAGGGGAAGCGGAGATCAAGCAAAAGTGAGATATGCCAAGAAAGGAGGGGAAAAGGCAATCAGCGGCAAAAGGCTGAGGCTGTCTGAGAGTTGAGTTACGGTGCTTTGAAGCGGTAAAGAAAGACCTTGAAAAATGTCACATTCTAAATGGCTTGAAGAACCAGACGTGGTGGCGCACACCTGTAATCCCAGCACTAGAGAGGCTGAGGCAGGAGGGTTGCTGTGAGTTCGAGGCTAGCCTGGGCTACAAAGTGAGCTCCAGGCCAGCCTACGCTGCATAGTGAGACCCTGTCACAAAGAGACAAAACAAAATTTTTTTAATTTAAAAATAAATAGCTTAAAGATCATAAGGTGGCGCGTTTCTGGCGAGTAGATTCCCAGGTACACAGGCAGAGGCCTGTTGGGTATGCAGAGAGAACTGCAAGGCCATTGAGGCCACAATAGAGTGACTTCAGGAAAATAAAACAAGGTCCAAAAGGAAACGGGGATGGAGCGAAGGAAGCGCTTCTCCAGGGCGAGGAGAGGCCTGGGGTCCCGGCAAGGATGCAGGTGCTGGCCGCCGAGCTCAGCGGCTGCCCCAGCTTCGTGGCCCAGGACCTGAGCCGCACCCGTCGGCCTCAGTCTCCTCCTCTGTACCTGTTCCTCGCCACCTTCACACAGCTCACAGGAGATGCCAGGTTCACAAAGGTACCGAGCGCTGTGAGAAGCCACCGGTAGAGAGAAGCCTTGCTCAGGAAATACGAAGGATGCGCTTTAGGCAGTTCTGAGTCCAGTACCACGCAGCAGACCGAAGGGAACGGAAGAATTTGCGTATATTTAGACTTATATATTTGCATATAATATATGCTTCATAAAGATATTTATTTCCGACACCTACATTTATAATTTTTTTATGTATTTAGTGCAAAGTCTACAGGATCTCACTATGTACATCAGACTTATAGTGAGCCTCCTGTTTTCAGCCTCCCAAGCGCTGGGATTACAGGCGCCTGCCATCATGCTCAGTCTACGTTTTGGGGTTTTTTGTTGTTGTTGTTGTTGGTTTTTTGGGAGGTTTTTTGTTTTTGTTTTTTATGTCCGACACCTGCATTTAATTCACCGCTTACATTACATAAGCTGACACTCGCGGCCACATGGTCGGGAGCATTTAGAGGCTCCGTTCTGGCCCCTGGAGGTAGAATCCCCCAATTTCTCCCTGTCCAGATGTGTGTGAACCTCAACAGGTGACCCACGCTCCCACTTTTATAGTGTCTAAAAACTATAAGCCGCAGGACTGGCCTCATGATATCGTTGTACAGATTAAATGACTCGTGTGTAAAGCACGTACTGCGCGGCAGAGCACACGCTGTAAGATACTGGGTGGTATATATTATTTCATAATCCTTAATGATGTATGAAGAGTTGATGAACTTGTTCAACTTATACTGTCCTAGAAAGGAGCACGCCTCACTGTCTGATGCATAGTGATTCTGTTAGATGCTTTGCCGTGGTTGGTGTAGTCTCCGTACATCTGCTGCCACCTACGGACGTCTGGGGTCTGGCGCCTATGGGCAGGCTACTGTACTCTACTCTCCGTTGTGGAAGGAAGTGGTAAAAATAGACAGAAATGCCGAGGTTCTGTGGGTGCTGCACACGGGGCGTTGTTAGGAATCTCGTACAGAAAATACAAAGACTTTCTTCCGTTGTCATCCAAGTCACGGAGCTGGCAGCGCTGGAGGCGGGAAGACGCCAAAGAGCTCAGCCCCAAAGGCCTTGGCTGAAAGGAACAGACTGCGCAGGCGAGGAAGAGCTGGAAGGGAGGAAGGGGTGTGCAGGCGGAAGCGGAGGTCGGGGGTCTCGCTCGCTCCGCCCACCTGCAGAACAATTCCCTGGGCTCGAACCCCAGCCCGCCAGCGGCGGCTCCACCTGCCCCGCCCACCCTGGAGGAGATGTCTCACCCGCCACCCCCGCCCATGCATCAGGCACACGTTAAAACCCAGAGATAGGGGCTGGTGAGATGACTCAGTGGTCTAAAGCACCTACTTAGAACAAGCTTAGCAAAGCACAGGGACCGCGGTTCAATCCCCCAGCACCACAAGCCAGCCCTGCCCCGTGGTGGGCTGAGCTGGCCACACACACACACACACACACACACACACACACAAATAAATAAATAAAATTTAAAAAAAAAAAAAAAAACCAGAGATATATATCCTGCAGGAAATCTATCCAGTGAAAGCTTCGATTTTTTTTTTTTTTGCAAGAAAATTTATCAAGTTTTAAATTACACATACCACTTGATCCAGAAATACCACTTTTGGTAACTTGTCCAAAGAAAATAGAGGCTGTGGATCTGAGCTTCCGACGAGCGCAGGCGGCCGGTGGAGCGCTGAGTTGCTGATCGGAAGCGCTCCACCGGGTCGCGGTCTCTGGGAGCGGCTGAGAGAGCCCAGGTCTCTGTGCTGTGGCTCCAGAGCCTTCAGGATGTTTCACGGGATCCCAGCCACCCCTGGTATGGGAGCTCCTGGGAACAAGCCAGAACTGTATGAGGAAGTGAAGTTGTACAAGAATGCCCGAGAGCGGGAGAAGTATGACAACATGGCAGAGCTGTTTGCAGTGGTGAAGACAATGCAAGCGCTGGAGAAAGCATACATAAAGGACTGCGTCACCCCCAATGAGTACACTGCGGCATGCTCCCGTCTCCTGGTCCAGTACAAAGCTGCATTCAGGCAAGTTCAAGGCTCAGAAATCAGCTCCATTGATGAATTCTGCCGCAAGTTCCGCCTGGACTGCCCACTGGCCATGGAGAGGATTAAAGAGGACCGACCCATCACCATCAAGGACGACAAGGGCAACCTCAACCGCTGCATTGCAGATGTGGTCTCGCTCTTCATCACAGTTATGGACAAGCTACGCCTGGAGATTCGCGCCATGGATGAGATCCAGCCTGACCTGAGGGAGCTGATGGAGACCATGCACCGCATGAGCCACCTGCCCCCAGATTTTGAGGGCCGCCAAACAGTGAGCCAATGGCTGCAGACCCTCAGTGAGCCAATGGCTGCAGACCCTCATGTCAGCCTCTGATGAGCTCGATGACTCCCAGGTACGCCAGATGCTCTTCGACCTGGAGTCAGCCTACAACGCCTTCAACCGCTTCCTGCACTCCTGAATGCTAACTTCCATGTGGCTCACAGGAGATGTGGAGGTAGAAGCCCAAGAGGGATGGTTTCTACACCTGCCCAGGACATCGCTGTGAGCATTGATGTCCACAGATGCCTGCCCCTGTTCTGTCAGAACTCACCCCCAATAAAGATGCTATCTTCCTAAAAAAAAAAAAAAAAAAAAAAAAAGAAAATAGAGGTGCAGATGAAAAGTGAAAAATTAAACCGCGGAATGCCCATGTGAATGGTGCTGACAGCGTCCTAGATGTAAAAGTATAAATACTACAAGTGCCCATCGAGCATGCTATCAGACCCTAAACTGTGTCACAGCTGGACAGAGCCCCAAATGCACAGCAGAGGCGCGATGCCAACCCGTGGCAGGGGAGTGATGTCGTTGTTCTTTTTTTTTTTTTTTCTAATGTAAGAATGAGTTTATACAGAACGCCCCCTCATTTACATAAAATTATCATTTGTGGCATATGCCCCCTAAGTAGCCGAGGATGATGCGTACTTATACATCCATTCTGTGGCCCTGCTGTCCTTGGTACGTGGGAAACAGCAGGAAGCGGAGTAGATGGAGCCTGCCTCTGGCGCCTGCAGTCACGGGGACGTGGGGACAGGCGGACAGTGGTCCAGGAAGCACAAGCAGGACAGGAGAGGCCTGCGACAGAAGACAGCTGTCCGTGCCTGTTTGGAGATTTGCTCCCAGAAAACGTGGCCCTCGGGACTTGAAAGGCGGATGGCAATCACCTGCGGGCACACGGAGCTACAGAATGTTCCAGACAGAGCCTGGTGGTTGAAACGGCTTGAGACACGAGTGAGAAATTGAGAAGTGGCTTGCCAGACAGATCCGGCCTGCTACGCACCTCCTAAGCCACCTACCTGCCAGCCTGTGTAAGGTTTGGGCCTGACTGCAAGGCCTTGGGCGGCCACTAGGGGCAGTAAGGAGTGGACGAGGGGTCTGCAGAGTGAAGTGCGGTCTGAGGACTCCCACAGGGCAAGCAGCTGGCCAGGGGGCCACAGCTGCCTCCGGGACAGAGCTGGCAGAGCGCTGGCCGGGAGCCACGAAGGTAGAGATGGTGCAAGGAGGACGGCCCAGCACGCACCTGCCCTCCCTCGCCAGCAGAGCAGAGCACCTCCCCCATTGCATCCCTGTCCTCCAAAACTCTGGATCCCAAAAGCATAATGGTTATTTTAAATCATCAGTACTCTTTTTTTTCCGTGGATATGATTCACTCCTGTGAGGGTTGTGGGAAACCCAGTGCAGCCGTCTGTGCGGTGATGTACAAATCATTGAGCAAGGAGGCCGCAAAAATAGAAAATATTGGCATCTTCGACCCCCTCGGTGCAGAAGCAGGAGAAAAGGGGTTTTGTTTGGAATGCGACATGGACTCCTGTGTTTATTACCCTCTGGCTTGAAACAATGCCCCTGCAACCAACTGCAAATGCTGAATATGTTAGAGAGAGGGAGGAGGGGAGAGAGGGGGGCGCTCATCAGTGCCGCGTTGTTCTTGGGGCCCGTGGGCAGAAGAAGTATGACTGGAATTAGGGGGTAAGAACGAGAGGGGTGTGAAGCAAAAATAGGACTCTGAGAGTCCACACTCAACAAGTTGCAACTGTGAAAACGCTGTTTTGCTCCTAGGACATAGCCAACGGCGAGGACACAGAAAGACAGGAAATTGAAACTTTGCGCTGCTCTGTCCCCGGAGACCCGGAAGGGCGAGAGGTTGCAAAGAACACGCAGGCAACAGAGATAGCAGAGAACAACACTCCCATCATGAGCTTCTTCAAAACTCTGGTAAGTCATCCCTTCACTCCTTCCCCATTCCCATGGTCGGAAAGTGGCGCTGATTTGAAGGATGATATATATTTGAATGTGGTTGCACTGGGTTACATCCTGCTGCTGCAGTGTCCTCAAAGGACAGGGACGAGATGTGGCTCTTGAGGAACTGTGTTTATCAGGCTTTTGGCAGGAGAGCTCTTAGTGCTGGGAGCCACGACGGGGTCAGTGGATGCCCGAACCAGATAACGTGGCAGCGTATCGTAGTGGAATTCCGTTGCAGTTGAATGTCTCGTGGTCATCCACTATAAGTTATTGGGAAATAAAACCTTGAATTGTTGACCTAACGAAGCAACTTTGTCATCTGGCAAACAAAACCTTGTAGAAATCCCTTTCAATCGTGTCCCAGCTAGCACTTGAATTGGATGGGGTAGAGAGTATGTCTTGGTATTTCTTGTTCATCTTTGACCTCCCAAGGCAGAGCCCATGACCAGATACATGATAGCACACAGAGGAGAGCTCAATGAATGCATGCGTAATGAACCAGCTCCCCATATGTCAGACCCATATGCAAATATCAAGACTAACTCCAAAGGATGCAATGAAAAAAGTCAACCGAAGGTGCCACAACACCCAGGGGTTGCCCTGTGTGCAGAATACTGGCAGCACTGATGGGAAATCTGTGACCTTCAGGACACAGTTTTCAAAGGTTTCAAACTTTTGGGGGAATATATAAGATCTGATGCATTTCAATATAGAATATTAATTTTGTTAATTTTTTATTACCTGGAGGTCCTTTTTTTCTACTAAACTGCAAGTACTGATTTCCTTCTTTGTTGGTATGATGAACTGGACCTCCTTAAAGAATTACGTGTCTGGGAAATAAAACATCACTTTAAAGGCCTACAGCTTTTAATACTTGGCTTTCTCAAATTTCAAAGGTTTCACCTAACAAAGCCGAAACGAAGAAAGATCCAGAAGACACGGTAGGTGGCGTGAAGTGTGTATGTGCCAGTGTATATTGGGTTTGGGTGCAGAACTGGGTTCAAATCTGTGTCTGCTTGTTTGCTTCTTGAATAATGCATGGATCATATGTACATATGTGTGTATCCCATGATTTGCCTGTGTTGTACACATATAATGTTAGCAATTGGATACTCTGTTAGATTGTCTTTAAGGTACTTCATCTAGGTAATGGCATTTTAGAGAAAATTTAAGTAAATGCCTAAAAACTATGCCAACTCTGGCTAAATTATATCAAAATAACTGATTTCTTATATAAAATAAGAACAGAATACTAACAATTACCTCATCCTGTTAGTCTTCCAAGCTGCATGTAGAGAAACCTAGAAAGTATAATAAAAAATGACCCCCTTTAAAATAAAAGGAAGCTGCTATGGCTTTAATTCCTGTTATTTAGGAAATAGAGTTAATATTATAAGTTTGAAACCAGCCTGGGCAACTGGATGAAACCCTGTCTCAAAATTTAAAAAATGAAAAAGATCGGGGCTATAACTCAGTGTGAGGCCCTGGGTTCATTCCCCAGTACTACAGGAAAAGGAAAAAATAAGTGTTCTTTGCTTTTATGTAATTTGAGGGGGAAAAATAATGTATGCTGCAAAGGTAATTTTGAAATAAAATGGCTGCCATGGACTGTCCAAATGGAGGACTGCGTGGAGGGGTCAAACACCCTTCTGGGTTCTCCCTGAAATCTTGGCCAGTTCCCCTCAAAACCTTTTGGGTTGGCAACAACTTCTTTCTTGAAGATGTTTCCCCCTTACCCTTAAAATCCTTGAAATCCACTGGGACCCACTGGGACCCACTGAGTGGCTGAGCCTGCCCCATATACCTGCTACTTATGTTTGGAGGGGCTGAGCTGGGAGAAAAAAGAAATCCTAGAATTTTGCCTTTGAAGACCCGGCTGGAGCTCCAGTTCCATGACATGATAATGGTCTCAGTCTCTGCACTCATGAAACTGAGTCAGTAAAGATTCTCTCCCATAGACCCTAGAACCGAGTGAAGGTTTGAAAATGCCGTATAGACTGCAGAGCTCTGTTCAGATGTCGGTGCTGCCTATTCCTATTTTCCTGTGCAAGTTGAATTGGGTGCTGATTCCATTTGTAGTGGATGGATTGCTTGCTCTACAATTTTCTTCTCTGGTTGAAAACTCTGTTTTTAAGGCATCTGCGTGCATTGTCCTTACCATGACTCATTCACTACAGGGCAGCTGAGGTCAAGTTCAGTGAGTGATTGGGTCAAGATGTTTCTCTTTTGTTTCTGTGTTTCACATTGTTTGAAGACACACAGTCAGCAGAGTAGAGTACAAACAGTGGGGAATGTGGGTGTGTGACTCCCCAAGTGACCGCAGGTAACCATTCTCCCTACTGGTCATGCCCTAAGCCCCTTCCACAGCCCAACTGAGGTGGTCCTGACTGAAGATGCCTCGATGACCAAATCTCGCAGTCCTAAGGGCTAAACCTGGGTCTCGGGTGAGGGATTCTGAATTTAAGATTATCCACAATACCTGCCTTGCTGGTATCTTTTTCTACTGAAGTTTTTGGATTTTTATTTTCTGAAAAGTCTATTTTTTTTAACACATTCTGTACCCCATCCACAAGCTTACCCCATTTGTAACGTAAGCCAAATGCTTTCAGTGGCTGTAGCTGGGCTAATTCATCCCAAGTTTCCTCCTGTTTTGACGTGGAGAGATTGGTTCACCTAGGACCATCCTTTGCCTGAGAGTTCTGCATATCAATCAAAGTTTGTGCTGTTGGTACTGCTTTCCGGAGGGCTCCAACACTCAGTCAAAGGAAATCAGTCTGAGCGCGGAAGCGCCTTAGAGGTGGTGTTGGCCTCATCTCAGGGACATGACACTAAATTATTTGTCACGAAATAATTTTGTCTTTCCCTTATGACAGTACCATTTTTATATTTAAAACTATTAGGTAGGGTACGTGTGATCTTTGTTCACTTTCATTTGGGTATTTCTAGTCACGTATTATTAAACATCTTGTTACTATCTTTACCAAATAGTGATGTGGGTGGGATTTGGTCTGGTTTGGTTTGACCTGGGAATCTACTTTCCTAAAATCTGTTTATCTAAATTAAGTAGGCCGCCTTGGCAAAAAGCAGTATGTCTTTGAAATTGACTTGAATGTGCTGTTTATCGCTGAGCGGGTGCTGCAAACCTGTAATCCCAGCACTCTGGGAGACTCAAGCAAAGGTCACAAGTTCAAACCAACCTGGGTAATTTAGCAACTTATTGAGACTCTGTCCCAAAATTTAATAAAAAAAATAAAAAAATAAAAAACTTCTGAAAAGAGGCCAGGAGCATAGCTTGTCAAAGCCCTGGGCTCAACTCCAGCGACCCAAAAACTGCTGTTTAATAAATTGTCTTTGAGGCTTTAAAGAACCCATACATTCCCATGGCACGCAGCAGTTCACTGTCAAGGCATATTGATGCCCCTTAAGGCAACAGGAAAAGAAATGGGTTTTGTTGGACAACAAAATTCTAAGCTGTGACCGCTGTTGCTCAGAAGGCATCCAGAGCAGAGAGCATCTGTGATGGCCACATCGGTCAGAAGACGTCCGAGGCCCCGGCGAAAGGCAGCAAGAAAAAGCACCTGGACAGCCCCAGGCTAGGACTCGCCTTTAGAAAATTCTTTAGACATCAGGTTTGTATCTTGCTCCACTAGGAAGGAAAAGAACCCTGGTCTTCACCACGCAGGTAGGAGGTCCCACTCCCAGCATGCTCTGCGCCAGAGGAGACAGAACCTGGGCTGCGATTGGTGCAGGCAATTAAACAGGATGTGCCTCAAACCTCCGCGAATTCATTGAAGTGCCCGTAGCCATACGCATCTCAAACCAGTGTCTTCCAAGTGTCGACCAGGGTTCTAAAAGTATTCTTGCTGAGTGTTTCCCACGTGTTGGTCATTCACATACCATTTCATCATTTTTGTTCCATGTATTGTTCATCACCCGATGCTTTTCTACTGAAATTGGCCATTTTCTGTTTATCTTGAAAAGACATTTTCCATTTCATCATATGTAGAAAACCAGACTTGTTCCTTGTAATAAGATAGCCATTTAAAATACTGAATGTAGGGCCAGGGAGATAGCTCAGTGGCATAAGTGCCTGCCTGGCAAGCACAAGGTCCGGAGTTTGATTCCTGGTACCGAAAAAAAAAAAAAAAAAAAAAAAAAAACACTGAATATGAAGGATAACATTCTCACCATCTCATTTGTGTTAATCTCTGATTCCAAAGCTCAAATTTATTTTAATGAACCATCCAACTTTATTATTAAAAAAAAAAAAAAAAAACAATTGGCCATTGGTGTGGAAAATAAGTTCATCCCACCTCAAACCAAACTTTTTCCCTGGAATGTTGTGAGACAGAAGCTATGGGAGTTGGAAACCAAAAAGTATTTTCACTATGCGAATGCCATTTAATATTGGATTTCTATGCAATCTAAAACCATAGAAACCATGGTATGCTGCCTACACTTTGGAAAACACTCTGCTAATCCCAAGATAACAATGTCACCTTTCTGTCGTCTGTTCCTCCCATTCCCAGTATTAACTAAGCTTACTCTGAACCCACATAAAAGCCTAAGCAGGAGAAAAAAAAACAATGAACGAAGGCAGAGCAAGTTCTCTGTGGCATGAGGAAGTTAGGACAAAAAGAAGCTGGCTTTGGGGATTCCACTCTCCTAATACCCAAGAAGACACCAGTGTGTGTTGGAAACTATCCATTCAAATGACTTCGGAATTGGATCTGCAAGCTTGGAAATTTGTTTGGAAGGCCAGCCATCCTCTAAGTTGAATGAAATTATTAACAAACTTTCCCAGCTGACAGTCAGACTTTGGGTCACGGCAAATAAAGGTTCTGTACGAAGTACTCAGAGCCGAATTTATGTTTGCACAAACAGTGTTAGGAAGCCACCTTTTGGTTTCCAAGTAGACTTATTTTCTTCTATAAAAAGAAAAGGAAGGGAGTGATAGAAAATGCCATCGGAGAAGGAACATAAAAAAGTGGTACAATCACTTTGGGAAGGGGGAGAGAATTTAGTAACTGCTAGTGGAAAATGTCACAGTCTCCTACAAGCGCCTGCTAGGAGTGATGCGTAAGGGCCCTTGGGAGCTGAACCGTAGGACATGCCTGCCCCCGCTACCCTGGCCCCGCGTCAGTGTTTCATTATGACATTCGTTTTGTGCACTACAAACATCTCCTATCTGCCCTAACTCTATTCATAAATGGACCACCCAAGTTCACTGTTACTGTTCTCGAAATTTCCAAAACCTTCAGCCTCACTTTCCACCACCAAGGCGTATTTAGGTGAAGGGTGGTCACGCACGGCCTTCAGGCATCGCCTTGAGTTATACGAGGTTTTTATGTTGATACAAATTACAGTACTTCTACACTCTCCTATGCAGTGCTGCAGCAGAGCGGGTTGGCTTTTATCTTTGTATCTAGGACAGTTTATTTCTTGTTGCCTTTTGATTCTTTTTTTCTTAAACCGAAGGAAAAAGCGATTGAAAAGATGGAACCGATTCTGTCAATGCAGGGCCTCGGAGGAGGGTGACACCTTTGCGGTCACCCGGAGGTTGTAATCTGAAACACAAAAAAGGGGGAGTTGGGAGGGAGGATTAGTACAATTTCAAGGATAAAAAGGAAAAAAGAAAAAGCCAACTATGTACTTTCCAGTTCTGTTGTTTAAAAAAACACTGTTTGCCAGTCCTGATTGGTCTCCGGGCTTATTTCTCCATCTCAATTTTCCTTTCTCCAAAAGGCATTCTTTTGGCATTGAAAGGGGAAAAAAAGGAAAGGCCATCATTAAAAATAAAATATTTACATATTTTATTTTATCAATAAGAAGAGCTTCAGCCTTCCTTTGCCGAACCTGGATATCTGCTTTTGCCCCAGCCCCACGCAAAGCCTCGGAATCAAACCCTCGTCCAGACGCCCACGGTCCCGGCCGGAGCACCCGGGGCAGGCGGTGTCCTCCTGTCCAGAGTGCTTCCCTAGCAGCTGGCCCGAGTAGTCCAGAAGCTCTGCCACGCATTCACTGTTTTTGTTTCTTCCTGCAATGTTCGCATCACCCTAATGCCACATGCCCTCCCACGTTGGAAAGCACAACCCAGAAGCCAAGCCTCGCGCAAGGTGAGCTGACCTGCAAGGTGAGCTCACGTGGCCTGCAAGGGCGGTCACGTGGCCTGCAAGTTCCCATATGGTAGATGTCCCCAGGCAGGGTCGCCAGATGAACCACAGCGCACCCAGTTATATTCAGGTTTCAGCTAAATAAAAAGTAATGTTTATATAAAGATACGGCCCTTGAAATACTTGGTACGTGCTTGGGCTGGAAAGTTTTTCTTCGCCTATCTAAAATTCAAACGTAATGAAACGTTTTATATTCTCGTTTGTATTTCAAATCTGGCGACTCTGTTCATGAGATGGCCTCTGAACACGTGGTCAGAGTTGCTGCAGTCTCTTCTATGATGCAAACAAAGAACACGAAGCTGGCTGGTGCTGGCGGAGCGCCACGGGACAGAAGGCTTGGGGAAGCAAGGAGAGGCGGGCAGTGGAGGAGAGTGAAGGGACAAACGGTGCTCAAACGGGGCTGCGCAGCCAGGCCGGAAGGAGTGGGCAGGTGCAAACGGGAGGGGCGGCATAGGTGTGGGTAGCCCTCCTTGGTGACCTTCTTGTATTTTCAATTAGCAAGTTGGTAGTGAGTGAGTGAGTAAGTTAATACCTGTTTTGCTCCAGCACCGCAGCTGATGGCAGCTAGGGATGTAATCACTGCTAAGACCTTCTTTCCCTCAGTGGGCTTGAGGGGTGACACACGGGAGACACAGTCAACCAACAAGTGTGCACACACTTTCGGGTTCTACTCTGTGACTATAACACAGCCATCCCCTTGTCATAATTTTGAGGGTCTCTGGCTATCTTCCTGTGCAGAGAGCGGGCCATTTCCCAGGGATACTGGGCAGCATAGATGGGGCTCCCAATCTTTCTCATCATTAGCTCCCCATTAGGAAGTATTTCGGGGCGTTTTCCACTAGTCGCCTTTCTCCCAGCGGAAGTGTAATGCTAAACATATATTGCACATACGGTCCCAACACAAGACCTTTCGGATGGGCATGCACCACGTTAATGCCTAATTTTTATAGCACCCCCCCCCACCCAGAGCAAGGGCATTGTGACCCAAGTTTCCCACCTGGAGGACAGCAGAGGCTTTATTCAGAATGGTGGCACAAACTCATCTTTTGATGAACAGGTCCGCCTTATGGGGGTGGAGCCTGATTGACAACAGTGTTGTACGGAGGTACATTGGGGAGGGGACCAGGCTCCCTGGATTCAACCATCAGCTCTCACCCCTCATGTCTGTGACCTTAGGCAAGTAACTTCCTCACCAAACCCGTACACTTCCCTGTCTGTAAAATGGATGCAAAGCTTGGTTCCTTCCTCAGAAGACTGTTGGAGCCATCCCGTGCCCAGAGCAGTGCTTGGCACCAGTGTCTTCCGTTAGCAAATCAAAGTTTAAAGTCAGAAATTTTGTCTTGAAGAGACGTTCATGCCCCACAGGGATGCTCAGGCATAGAGGCTCAGTGGCAAAATGCCACACATGTCATGCTCTGAGTAAGCTGTCCCAGAGACATCCTAGAGCTCCGGAGAATTTTCATTCTCATAACCTCTATATGAGTCTGGGATAAATCTACCACCTGACAAGTAGAAAAGGCAAAGCAACAAGAGTCAAACCACGCAAGATGGAATCATGTTGTGACTGAATCTCTTCATGGTGTGTGCACTTAGCTGCACCAACGATTGGCTAAAGCTAACAACAGCCCTTTCTTAGAGGTGAGATAGAGTCAGCGCCAATCTCCCATGTTCAGGGTCTAAAATGGACCGATGGGCAAAGGGGAATTCTCCCAGAAAAACAAAAGAGGCAGATTCTGGGTAGTCAGCAAGGCAGCAGAGGTGGATTCTGGGTAGTCAGCAAAGCAGAAGTGGATTCTGGGTAGTCAGCAAAGCAGAAGTGGATTCTGGGTAGTCAGCAAAGCAGAAGAAGTGGATTCTGGGTGGCCAGCAAGGCAGAAGAGATGGTGCTGGGTAGTTAGATAAGCTTGAGCACCCCTGGATCATCTGATGCTATATGGGTCCCGAGGTACTTGCCGGCTGTCCCTTTGACAAAGGTCTCAGAGTACCTGTTAGGAATCAGTCTCCTACCTTTCTCTGCTCAATTTCCTGTCACCTTCAGATGAAAGTTGCCATCCATTTCTCAGTAGTGGCTTCCTTGATTGTCAATAACAGGTCCAACTCTCTGCTTTTCAGGGGGAGAGGTTGTTCATTTTGTTTGCTGTGTTTTGGTAGCAATAAATCTCCTCCCTCCACAGTGCATACCATGATTGAAATTGTTATGTTTATTTGAGAAATACTTTATTGAGGGTCATTCTTTCCCTGAGAACATATAACCCAGTGTACATCATAGCTTTTAGAAAGTACCTAATGCATTTTTATGAATGGATAATACTTTGCTACGTTTTTGAGAAAGCAGCAAGCTACTAAATATGTGGGAAGGTAGTGCCCTCTAATCAGTCCCCTTTAACCTAATAGCAATGTAAGGCTGAAACAGTACATGTGCAAGACCCTGTGAAGAATTCTTAACACAAAGCTCTGTGGGTTCAGCACTTTTGACTTCACTCTCTCTAAAACACAGAGATTATCTTAAATTCCAATATTCTCCAATTTTGTACACTTTTCAGTGCAGTAGGGTTTTTCAAGTGCCAAGTACTTTGCTGCTTCAGGTCTTTACCTAAAGTGATTTAAAAACTGCTAAATAAACTTCAGATCCCAGGCAAAGAAGACGTTGTGTCTTATATCAGACAGGAAAAGTCACGTGATCACAGGCGCTCTTCAGAGAGGTGATTTCCATGTGCGAAGGATGTAGAGAACCCTAACGATGCTTAGAATGGGAGAGTCGAGGTCAGACGAACCTGGTGTCAAAAACTTGAAGGCCAGTGCTCACTTGTGTTGGTGTAGATGGAGCTGTAACTCTTTATCCAAAGGCAGAGGAAGACAGTACCTAGGAATTAGCCTCTTGGTGAAGAAAACCTATCTTAGAATTGGACTTCAGCACAGCCAGGTGGGGAGGGAGAGACAGAGGGAATTGGGGAGGGAGATGGACAGAAAAGGGGGGAGAGAGAATGAAGAAGAGGAGGAGAGGGGAAGGAGAGGAGGGAGAAAGGGAGTGGGTGATATAAACGGCGTCTGGAGAAGTTTTATTTGTGGACTGTGGAGTTCGGAATTGTAGACAGTTCCATCCGTGGACCCCTCCACTGAGCTTCGGGCCATCTGTCTTACACTTGCATCGTAGCCGGGATGAGGCCAAGTGGAGTGAGAGACAAACTTCAGGCTGTCTCCTGTGACTCCGTGTGTCCTAACCCATCCCTCCTGTCCACTGGGCATAAGTGACATCTCTCTATAAGACATATGTGAACAATCATGCACAAAGCCTTGGCCTCTCACTGAGAAGCAATGGAGCCCGGGTGAGGGGCCTGCACACTAACACACAAGCTTCGCCTCTGACACCCCGACTCCTAACGAGCTGCTGGCATGAGCGTCGCCCGTAACGCTTCTCTGTTGTCTTTCCAGAAAGAAAATGTCTTGACTTTTTCCCAAGATTGTAACACTAAACCACTTTCCAAGTAAAAACTTGAATAATACAGAAAACTATAAAGCAGAAAACTAACATTATGCATCACCCCAGTCCATGTTCATAAAAATAAATCTTACGCGTTTGAAATTGTGCAATCTTCCTGTAGTTGTTCACTCTGTTTTTGTTTTTTGGGTTGTTGTTGTTGTTTTTTTTTTTTTTAACAACTCGGTAGAGTGCTGAGAAGTCGCCCACCACCGTGGCCAACCTCAAGTCTGACAAAGCCTGCGCTCCCTCCCAGGAGACCCAGAGCCCCAGAGGCAGCCCACCTGGTCAGGCGTCAGTGACAGCAGCTGCTGGGACAGTCAAGGAAGGGGGCAAGGACAAGTCAGGACCCACCTCTCTGCCACTGGGCAAACTGTTTTGGAAAAAGGTGAGTCCGAGTTTCAAGATTTGCGGGGTCCTTAGAGCCGTGAGTTGAGAAATCACTTGTATTGGACCAGTTGTTATACTCAACCAGACCTAGAGGGCTTCTAACACCCTCTTTATTCTCAAAAAAGATTCAGCTTGTTGCTGGGTTGAGGGTTTCTAACGCACTCTGGGAACAGGGTGAAGCGCCTATCCTGTGGCACGCCGGTGCTCCCTGGGGTAGAAAAGCGGGTACCCAGGAGCCATGACTGGGACCCACGGCCAGGGACTGTAGGGTCGCGTGGATCTGTTAACCTCTAAGGCAGTGGTGCAGACCTGTGTCCCTGGTGCCGCAGCAGGCATACAGAGCCCTTTCTGTGCAAGCCAAGAGCATGAGTTGGTTTTTCCTACACTAAAACCTCAGTATTCGGGTTTAATTTCACTGTTGGCACTTTGTGGTACATACCTGGGCTTTGGCTTGGAGTGAGGGCCATCACTGGCTTACAGCGACTAAGGATCCAGCTTCCCCAATCACAGAGTGCTGTGGCCTCACGAGGTGGAATGGATTGCCTTGGGGCAGACTCTTGACAGGCGAGGTCAAGCCTGGTCTGATTCCTTCCTGTTTTATCCTGTTGTGCAGAATCCATGTGGGTTTCCGAGCCCTGTTCTCATTAATTTCTGTTACACAGAAGCCTGCTTTCTAGATTCTCAGTAGAATACAGACTCCAGCCGCTCATGAGAACTTTGCAGGACGCCAGCTGCCCTTCTGTTCTAATCCTCCTCTGTCCATCTCTAGTCCTTATTGTTAAGTCTTTTACCAGGGACGTAGTTCAGGGAACAGTTTTCAAGAGTGAGAGTCAGGCATAGTGGCTCATGCGTGAAATCCCAGCACTCAGTAGACTGAGCCAGCCCAGCCTGGGCAATTTTATGACTTAGTTAGAATCTAGCTCCACATAAAATATAAAAGGGCTGGATAGTTAGCTTAGTGCGAAGGTCCTAGGTTCAAACCCTAGTACCAAAAGAAAAGAAAAGAATCCGAGTCATGTACATAATCAGTAGCAAGAGAGATAACCTAAATGACCCAAATTTAAACACTTTATTTAAATACTCATCATATATTCATTCATATAAGTGAAGCTATGGGAGTTATGTATCGGATGCACAAAGGCGCTTCTAACAGTTATATATAGCTTCAAAGTATAGCAGGAAATACAGAAGTAGCACATTAAACAAGATTTAGCATGCATTTTGGTCAAATGAGATGACATGATTTTGCTTCAGAAAGAAATTGCATTAAGGCCAGGGAGAGAGCCCAGGGGCATAAGCGCCTGTCTGGCAAGTGCAGGGTTCTGAGTTCTATCTCTGGTACGGGGGAAGGGGGGAGAGGAAGGAAGGAAGGAAGGAAGAAATCACAGGGAAATGCAGTGTCACATAAATAATGATCCTGAGAGTCCCACTAAGTCTGAATCTGGGGAGACCTGGGTTCTCCAAGAAGCACACAACCAGCCAGAACTCCCGTGCCGGAGGGTTCGTGGGGGCGAAACACCTGAGAGGGACAAAGCAGGATGCAGTTGTAGGTAGCAGGTAGAGCATGGAGGGACTTCTCTGGGGAGGGAGGGAGGGAGGGAGGGAAGGAAGGAAGGAAGGAAGGAAGGAAGGAAGGAAGGAAGAAAAGAAGGGTGGGAAAGGGGGGATGGGAGGGACAGTGGGAAGGAAGGAGGGACAGAGGGCAGGAGGCAGGAGAGGGGCCAGGCAGAGGCTGGTGCAGAGGAAAACACAGCCAAGACAGCCCACACTGGAGCCCTGCTGGCAGGAATGAGCGGCCGTGGCCCATTGGCCCAGCACCCCACAGTGCCCAGTCACCAGCAGGAGCTGGAGGCAAGTCAGAGGAAGGCTGTGCTTTCCGGCAGGGAAATCTGAGCAGCTTCAGCTGCTGCGGGGGGCCAATACAGGCAAGATGGCAAATGCCGCACACGCTGTGGACAAATGCCTAGACCTGGAGGAGCGGGCACGCAAGGGTTACGCTGGGAGTCAGATCTGACTTCCAGTCTGTCTCTGCGAGCCTGAGCCTCCCGTTCCTCAGTGGTAAAAAGCAAGCCGCAGTAGAACAATAGGAACAGTAGAAACCAAGCGAGAGTGAAGTGCAGTTCTGCCAGGAAAGCCCTCGTGCTCCACCTGGTACAAAAGCAATCAGCAAAGGGTCACCAGTCCCACGTCACTCGTCCCCCGGGGACTAAGCGTGTGTGGGGACTAAGAAGGAGACTGGGGACTAAGCGTGTAGCTGTGCTGTCTTTCTGCACTGTGCAGTTTGGGGACGTTCCTAACCCACTACTGCCTGGATACTTCGCCAGTGTCTGGAGGCTATAAGAGATATAGTCTCCGGGTGTGGTGATTTGTGCCTAGTTGCCCCCCCCCCCCAAGCCTCATGCAGTCCTGGAGTTTGTGATTGATTATTGTTTGTGTGGGGGCTTCACCCACCCTGGTGCAGGTAATCTGCATTACAATGTGAGGAGCAGAGAGAGGCTGGCTGGCTGCCTGAGCTGCCACCACTCCCTTTGCTCTCTGCTCTTTGCCACCTCCACGAACAGCTGTCCTCCACCTTGTGCTGCTCTGCCTTGGAGCCGGGTGAGCGTGGACTGAAACTTCCCCTGACCGTACCTTTGTATCTTTGATAGAGTCTTAAAAATAATGAATTTAAGAGCAATCACAATCAAATCACTGATGCCCTGCGTGTCCCTCTCCCGCCTAATCTAAAGGAAAAATCCTACCTGGAAGTAAAATAGGAAAGTTTCCCCTTAGGCGACAGCATTTTAATGACTTTCCTTTCACTGAGGTGTTTGTGTAGGTTTGTGCTAATTAGTCGGCATTGAAAACTTGACTGTGAACCAACTCCTGCCTGTTCCAAGCCTCAGTTCCTGTGCAGAGCTAAATCCTAGCAGGAAATGAACCCAGAACCTGTGTTTTCTTTTCTTCAAACTAAATGGGCTGTGCTGATAAAATCAGCCTGGTAAACTTTCTTTAAAATGCGCAGGAAAACACCAGGAAAGTCTTATCTCTACTGATAACAAACCTAACCTTTCTTCTCTCTCTTTTCGTTGAGAAACGTTTACACAAATTGATCTTAGAATTTGTACATCTGTAGTTAGGCACCTCGGAAATGGGTTTGATTCCCAGAAGATGCCATGCTATGAAAGTATTCATTATTTTGGTTTATAGTCTGGGTTGCTGAAGCAGTTATCATAACATGAAAGCAAAGCGACTAGTGAAGAAATCACTCGCAAGTTATACTGCAGGGTTTTGTTTGTTTGTTTTAAATGCTTACAATCCCATTACCTGGATTAGCTAAGCTCTTGATCGGGTTTAGGCAATCCAGGCTGCCACTGACTGCGTGGCACATAAACTCTTGGTGTGTTGGGTTTCTGGACTTTTCCTCACCTGCCCAGTGAGTGAGGTGGGACGGACAATGCTAAAGGTTCTCGTGGGTGGCAAACCTCGCGTAACAGATCCAGGGACTGGGGCCCTGCAAGCCTGGGCCATCCCTGGACAGATCTGAGCCCTGTTTTCATTTCTGTAAAATAAGGATTCTGTCACGTCCCCCACTCTTAGGAGAAACCGTTCATTGTAGAGTGAGGACACCTAAGGTACGGCAAGGGCCCGAGAGCAACGGCAGCAGCGCCGTCTTTCCTCAAATACAGACAAAATGTGGATGTGATTAGAGGCCTGTGAGTGGCTTCTGGTACCGCTCACCCTCCAACTTGTCCTTGGAGGAACACGATATACACACACGCACACAGGTGTGTGTTTGTGTGTGTGTGTGTGTTTGTGTGTGGATTCGTGCCCATGCACATACGTGCATAATTAGTGATATATTTGGAACAGCCCCACAACAGCCCTTTTCCTCCTTTCTGTGTACAGTAGCCATGTGGCCTCCGATGTCACCCAACCTCCTCAGCCCCTCAGCCTCTACTTCCTCCACAGTGAAACCAGTCAGTGGCACCTGTCTCTTTCAAGTGCCAGGAGGACCAAATAAGAAAAAAAAAAAATTCATACGCAGCATCTAGAGAAGAGTGATGAAGTTTACAGTCCAGCATTAATCACCAGGTTCCAAATGCCGTGGATGGTTAAAAGGGACAGCACCCAGTGTTGGCCAAAACAGACTTAGAGAACCTAAGCGTCGGTGTGGCTCACATCACCTGGGCTATTTGTTCCCAATACGGAATTTTACACCTTCCCATTGGGATTATTTGTGGTCAACTAAGCCTGGGTATGTGGCTGGGCAATTCTGAAAACACTTAAGAGACAAGGTCCTTGGATTCAAGCCCAGTCTGGTAGCATACCCTTGTAATCCCAGCCCTCTGAGAGGTTGAGGCAGGAGGAGCTCAAGGTCAAGCTCAGCTCAGGCAATTTAGTATCTAAGTGAGACCCTGTATCAAAATTAAAAAAAAAAAAAAATTGGATGTAGCTTAGGTTCAATTCCCAGTACTGGAGGATGGAGGCAGAGGCAGAGGAGGAGGAGGCGGAGGAGAGGAAAAGAAGGAGCATACAATTCTCTGATTCGTAGAAAAGGTGCTAGAGCCCTGTGAAGTCAGGGAGCTCCGATCAGCTGCCAGGAGATGGGAAGGAGACCTGGGACACCTGCCACCCTTGGCATGCCTGGTGGCTTGACCGTGTAAATGCACCTCCAAGGACCTTTTACGAATTGATCTCACTCTACTGCACAGAAGCTCTTATTCGGCAAGTCCATGGTGGTGTCAGACGTTGTTTAGGGCCTTCTTTTTTCTTAACAGGCTTCATGTCTAAAATCCTGAAGATTTTTAAACTGGAAATCTTACTGTTGTCAAAGGGCCCAGACTGTCTTAGATTCCCCTGCTACCCCATCCCTTGGAGAAGACGGGAAGTGGCTGCGCCCTCCTGCAGGGTCAAGGGCCTCGGGAACACCCTGAGGTGCGCTGAGCTCCTTTCCGGGCACTCCCTGTGCTCGCTTGCATTCGAGCCACCCCCTGGCCTCAGGTTCTCGGCTGCCCC